CAAACACGCGACTTTGTGTTCCATTTACCATCGAAATGCATCACAGAGTGCATGGCAGATGGCAGATGGTAGGAATTATGCCAAAGTATAATAGTGAGGTTAAGGCTGAAATAATCAACCTTGGCTTGGGAAGATAAGATTCTATTACCAGGAATAGTATGATGATTATAGAATATATCACCATACAACACTCATTACTCCGTACAGAGCTATGTAGGATTTAGTTTAAACTTAATTAGTGCCGGAAAATTTGTTTTTGGAAATCAAGTTTAACAACGCTAGAAACACAATAACCAAATATTTTATTTTTCCAGTACTTGATGAGAACTGTAGTAGCACAGCAGCAACGGAAACAGAAGCGGATATCAGAAGTGAAATGTGCAATACTGCCCTAGAGGGATATAAGCTGTTACCACGGTGATCAGTAAACAAGTCCTCATAACAGTGTCTGAGTAAGAGACTTCAGTAATACAAAAATTTACTGAGCCATACACAATGTACATGTACATACAGTTGAGTTCAGTTCAGTCTGTACGTAACTTTACATTAAGGTAGCTTTAAGCTGCTCTAATGATAGCTTAGCTAGCTTTCAAAAACACCATATATCTAAATTATGCCTGCCTGAGTATGACTTACAGTAGTGAGTAACATGTATAAATACAACAAATAAGTTGAAATTATTGATTAAAAATATAATCACTTTATAAATTACAAGTTTTTGATCTAACAGTCAAAATAGCTCTGCTGTCCTACAACAAATATTGTTGTAACCAAGCCAATACACACTTCAAATATCAAAGCAAACGAGCTAGTAGTTTTCAGGATTGAGTCAAAAATATGACAACAAATATTTGCTTAAAATAAAGAATTGATGATATTGCCATGAAATGAAACAAATCTGACAGAGGTTTACCTGAGCTACAGGTATCTCTATATGACATATCAAAGTAATCAGGTGGGTAGTTTCCAAGAAGTTGAAAAAATTACCAAAATATTCACTAAAACGGAGAATTATTGATATCATCTTTAAAATGAACAAATGTGATAAAGATTTAAGGTACTTGCATATAACATATCAAAGTAATCAGGCTGGTAGTTTTCAAGAAGAAGTCAAAACAGTAATTGTTGATGGACAATCACTTATACATGCAACTTAAAAAGCAAAGCCAAACGATATGCAGCGTGGGAGCTATGTTACATTAAGACTGTACTTTGTATGTATACATGTATATACATATTTTGTACATACAATGTATACTGTAGGGTACTATTTTATTATTCAAACATAAACCTTATATCAATATGTGAATGAAGCTTGTCAATGTAATTGTATCGATTCAGACTTTCTAGGAATTGTTGGATAAATCTACATGTAGATCTGGAAAAAGTTGGAGACTAGATCGATATGTTCTGAACACCAACATGTAAGCAAGACTCTGATTTTTAAACCCGTAGTCTGAACATTTGTGAAATGATGGAATACTCAACAGGTACTGAGATTGCTAATTCTAGGCAAGGGCAGCCATAATCTATAATTTAAATTATACCTATACCCAAGCTGAACTTAATGCTATCATCATACTCAATATCACCATGGTAACTACCTACTGTTGAAGATGGTAATCCAGGTATGTTTTAGCAAATATTACGTTAGGCCAAAACAAAATGGATTTTGCTTTTTGTCAAAACAAGTATTAGTTTGAAACCTGTGCCAAACACACATTTTTTTTTACCCAGCAAGTATATTGCACAAATATTTAAACTGAGATGAATTGTGGTTTCCATGGTATTCTGACACGTATGTAATATTCATCAAAACTACAAACACGTAATATCATGTACATGTCGTGTCACTTTAGATTAGAATTGTTATAGAATCACAATATGGCGACAGACAAATGGCCTCTTTCACATTTTAAATGTCATTTAAATTTTTCCCCAACAGTAGAAGCACAAAATGATTTGAAAATTGCAGTATACAATGTATACTTAAACAACAACACTCCCACACCACTAAATATCTCCAAAAATACTATTTGATTGTCAAGATGACCATGATATTATTATTATAAGTGGATAACATCCGCTTTAGAAACAAACTTGGGTAATTTAGGGTTTTCAGTCATTTAAAATATGCATTGTAACAATATCTATATAACGCTACTTTATAGCATGGACTTATTACGTTGTCATGGATACTTAACAATCGTAATGAAATGTACATGTAATATAAATGGCTACAGAAAATTGGTCAGCAGATAGGTGCTTCAAGGTATATGATATACATGAATTCTTGTTAAAAACACTCTCTGCTGAATGCTGAGTAAAGTACATGTACATATTGAGCAAT